CACATCTACAAATCACTTACACAGCAACACCTAGATTAGTGTTTGATTAAATAACTGGGTACTATAGCCTAGCCCAGTTGACACATAAAACTAACTGAGACACCATCTACCCATTTATTAGATGCTTCTCACATGCCAAATTATGAGAAAAACTATGCACAATCCCTGACCTCCAAAGGAAAGTCATAATTCATTTAATTAAATATGTACATAAAAATATTACTCTATAAATCCATAAGAGGTAGCAAACAATGCTAGCTTTGCTGGTTTGGAAGAAGGAACAGTACTTCCAGGTAAAGAAACAAGAAAAGCTGAAAACACAAAAGACAGTTGACCTTGTCCTTGGAGAATGAGTAAAATTAGAACAAGGGAAACAGGACAGTGGGTAGCATTCCTTGTGGGAGAAATGGCATAAGAAAAAGTGTGGAGTCAGGAAAATGTGTGATGTATATAGAAACATTGAGTGGTTCAGTTTGGCTGGGAATATAGAGCATTCATCAAAGCCTCTTTTATTTAGCCAGTGATTACTCCATGCTTCTTCAAGTATTTATTCCAAAGCTGTTAGCCATTTGCAAATGAAACAGAGACATCAAGAGATTCCTCCAAAGTCACACAGAAAACCTTCAGGGCATGACACATAACAAATCAATGCCATTTATGTTTAGAAGCTAGATACTGCTGACCTTTCAAAATGAGTTTTGCCATCCCTGAGAAAGTAGAATGCTTTATCTCTGTTGTTTCAGTTTAACTATCTTTCAAAAAGTCATGTTATTCTTTGATAAATGGAAGAAATGAAATTTATTAGGCCTTAACTTTTAATAAACATGTAGATATAGATGCTCCAAACATATATGTTCAGGAATTTATATATCACAAAATTAAAAACTTACTGCTTTTACCATTCAGTCAAGGGTATTTCTTGTTTTTTTGTTTTTTTGTTTTTTAGGGGGGGGTCTTGTGTGTTTTTCTTGTTGTTGCAATAATGAAATTGTTGTGGTCAATAAGCACAGAGAAAATATGTATAGGAGTCACAGGGTTCACAAGAAAGCAAAATTCATCTAAGACTCCTGTTATTCCAGTTTTGTGCCTTGTATATTCCTTTTATACAGGTCCTTGGAGCCATCTTGTTTCCATGCCCCAAGCCCAGCCTCATTTCAAAGAATTGCTGTTGGTTTAACAAATCATTATTAAATAGACATGGCTTAAACCTTACTTTCCACTATCAGCCTCTCCCATCCCTGCATTAAACTCAGTCATCCTTTTGCCTACACCGAAATTCATGTTTTCTACTCATGAACTAACTAGCCATGGGTTCGTTCTGAAAATTGATGGCTTTATAGCATTCGAAAGAATGTGCCTGGTTTTGAGGATAATTTAACACTTTTTAAAATTAAGATAATTATAGAAATTATAGAATTCCAGATACTTTCCAGATCAGTCTTTATTCAGCTTCATGCTATTGTGAATTGAGCAAAAGCAAATTGCACCTCTTCTTCCCCTCAGCCCCTCCCACTCTATCAAAGGGAAGCAGAAGACCTGAACCAGGAAGTGACATCATCCAGGGCCTGGTTTCATATCCCCATAAAGTGCATTACTTTAATTAAATCTATCAAGGAGGCTAGTAAAAGAGAGACTGGGGAGAAATGAGGTTATTGATCAGAGGTATTAAATAAATGGACATCACCAGGGAGTGGATGTTAACAGATGTGTGCAACACTCATGGAGGTTCAGAGTTCAGCTTCCTCAATAAATAGCTGAACATTTGTCTTGTGGTGACATGCTTCTATTGTTTTCCAAATATGGAGAATGTGTCTAGAGGCTTAGAATCACACTGTTACTTCATATTTACATAATGCTTTTGCTGTGTATTATCTCATTTTAATGCTGATCAACTTAACACTCCTGTGGGATGGGCAAACCAAAGATTTACAAACTGCTGCACCAGATTTTGGAGGGCAGAGTTCAACTCTCCACAGCGCATCTGTCACAACTGGGTAGGAGTGTGTCTAGGAGGGTGCTTGCATGTACCTCAAAAGGGCAGGCATGGAGAGATAGACGTGGAGCATCTCGGTGAAGATAAATGGTAATCACACCAACTAACTAATATCCTTCATAAAAGAAAATTTTCTCCTGAGAGTGGACATTAATTTGTTGTAGCAAGGTTTAATTTGGTATGTTTTACTCTAGCCTCAGGACAAGCTCACATCCGTGTGGATAGTGAGCAGAGTCTCCCCTACGAAAAGTGGACATCCTCAGAGACAATAATCAGGGCAGGGGCAGGGCCTCAAAAAGTACCTAAGGCAAGTTTGGGGCAGGTGGAAAAGAAGCTTCACCTGCTTGGGATTGGAAAGGCAACAGTCACTTCTAGACTGGCAAGGCTCCATGTAGGCCAACTGTGGGATGGCGGGTGTGGCCAGCAGAGGGAGGCGTCTCTGTCTTCCAGGGCTTGGCTGCACCACCAAGTGCAGTAGGAGAGGCCACAGGTTTCTCCTGATTGTGAAAGGAGAACATGCTGTCATGAGGGAAGCGTGCAACAAGTCCTTTAGCAATAAATTTTTTTGAAAATAAGAAATTTCAAATGACATGGGATTAGTAGAGATCCAACACCCTACTCCAGAATTCTAATGCTGCAATTGCCTTTCTTGGGAGAGCTTAGTCTGAGTTTACTTAGGCAAGTTGCCTCACATAGTCATCCGAGAGTGATATTTCATCAGGGGACTCCTGTGGAGGTGGGGGCTGAATGTCAGCTCTCTCTTCTTGTTATGTACAAAGAGGGGGTGTTTCCCACTGTGGGTCTTTCACAGTGCACTGCATAGATGAGATCTATGCAATCTAAATGGAGATCTCCATTTCAGGTTTTAGGCATGTGGTAACTACTCCTTTTCCATTTCCCCAGCAACTTTATCTTTAATAGCTATGTCTTTAATACTTTTTGCTGAGCACTCTTTCCATCTCAGTCTCATTAGCATTCAGTCTTCACAATTTCCTTAGGAAGTTGAACTATCATTCCTATTTTCAGAGTAGGAAACTGAGGCTTTAACTGATCACATAACTTGCCCTAGGTCACATAGTAAATAGCAAGCCTAAACTTTTACCTATGTCTGCTTGAATCCAAGTCCAGTCTTGATTACCATACCATTATGTGTGCTGCCTTCCTGGTCACCTCCCAGTGCATAGGATATAGTGGGTAAGAGACCGGGTGAAAAGTCATGTGGCTGTGTTAGAAGGCCTGACATCTTGGGTCTGTCATTTGCCAGCTGTATGACTTTTAGGTCTCTTGGTTTCTCTGAGCCTCAGTTTTATTTTTCTGCAAAATGGACACTATTCTTCCTTCTTACCTAAAAAGTTATTGTGGAGGGCATGTGAAAAGATGAAATGTGAATAAAAACCATAAAAATGCTACAAAGATATGAGAAATTGTTACATCTTAATTTTATGTCTTCCTAATATTGCTTAGGAATTGATGAGGCCCAGAGATAGAAAAAAATCAAGGGAAAGGGGAAATCATTTTTTCTTTCGACAATTACCATACACCATCGTATGCCAGTAATAATGAAGAACAGGTATTTGATAGCTTCTGCATAGCTGAGCTGTGAAGAACTTGATTTCTTTTTCACATCTAAAAGAGATTACTACTTAGGTCAGTAATCGGGAAACCCTCTGAATTGCTACCTGAGCTATAATGGTGTGAAAATGAAATAAAGAAAAAGGTGACCTTAATTCTGGCCTCCAAGAAGGGTTTGGTCAATTCAGCACCTTTTGCCAGCTGTAAATTTACTCCACAAATTGTCTACTTAGATGTGTTTCCCCTCCTAGAAAGAAAAAAAATGTAGCCTGTTCAAAATTAAAAGTCTGCTTCTCAAAGAAATATCACTGTGGAAATGTAATTCAACAAGTATTTGCAGAGTGTTTTATTGGTTCTGTATCATGCTAAGAATTCAACTGTCACAAGGGGTAGAGATGTGTATGATAATGATGAATACCATAGTCTGAAAGACATGGTCTCTACCCTTAAAGAAGTAATAATTTCCATGGGAATTGTACTAACATATATGGGATTTTACAAGTTGAAACAGGTTAAGACAGAAATGGACCAAAACCAGATGTCAGTATAAGAAATAAGTGGCTGGACATTCTAAGGTTTATGTTCTTGGATTAAGAAAGGTGAACCCTTATTGTAGAGGGCTCTGAAAGTGAAGCAGAGGAGCTTTAATTTGGTTTTCTGGGCAACTAATGAGCCCATTAAAGGTTTTAGAGCAGAACAGTAACATGATGAAATGACGAAAAATCCAAATCGAGTGTCATAGTTAGGACCCTTTAATTTTGAAGGTTTTTATTATCAGAAACAACTCAAATCAAATTAAGAAAAAAAAAGTGTAAGTGAAGAAATGTATTGATTCATACAACTAGAAAGCTCAAGTAGTGGACGTGGCTCATGGTGGTTTAGGCATTCAAATAACATCATCAGCTCTCTGGCTTCTTTCTCAGGCTACCTCCATGCAGTAGCAAGATGGCTGCCAGCAGCTCCTGTTTCCAGGGGCTTTAGAGATCATGGGCCCAGAGAAATAGGCTTCGGAAAAGGCCACATAGGTAGCTCTGATTGGCCCAGTTTTAGGGCTTGTGTGCTCATCCTTGAAAACCCACTGTGGTCAGTGGGGTGAAGCTATTTGATCAGCCGGGACTAGGTCATGTGCAACTGCTGAGGTACGGAGGTGACTCTACTCAGTCCTTCCTCCACCCCCCTTAACTACATGAAATGAGTAAGATATTTACAGAATGAGGACGGAGTAATTTCTCAAAGAAAGAGATACTGAGACAACACACATGTGCATGCACACACACACACACACACACACACGCAAATAGATTACCTAAGCTTGATGCTAGTACATTTGCAACCTAAAATTGAATACCTCTCTTTTCCCCAAACTGTAGTTTATTCCTTTAATAATTGCTTATATTCATTCATTTTATAGGCACTGAATGCTGTGAGTCATAGATCCTAGTTTTGAGTATCTACTGCAGAAGTTTCTCTATTTCTTTACAAGCAAACAGGTTAGGTTCTGAAAAGTTAGTTATAAATCCTTCTGTTCGTAACTGTAGTAAGAAGGTGCACCACCAAAGTAGATAGCTGACCACCAAAGATTCCTTCACAGCGTGGGGGTGGGGTTGTTGTTGCAAGGAAGTGATGACCAGCCAGGGACCATATTTTTTGTTCCTTCTCCTTTGCATCTGGGGCGGGGGGAGTCATATGGCTAATTCTTGTTGATGGATGTGCGAGGAAGTGGTGTGAATCAGTCATTTCTGCTTCTGGGTAGAATAGTGAAGATGTGGGTGTGCCTTCCCCACAGCCACTCTCTCTGTCAGGCGAGTGGAGAGGACTCCCAGGACCTGCAGGAGGACTGAGCCACAAGACAGAGAGTCCTTGGCTCCCCGAATAACCATATGAAATGTCATCCAAGAAGCTTTATCCACATTGAATTTCTACAGGAGTGAGATGTAAACCTTGTGTTAAGCCAATGGGAAATAGAGTCTCACCTTAACAAATACAGACAGGTTTAATCGCATCACCCACACACTTATTTCTATCACATAAAATGGTGTCGCTGACCTTCAAAGCTTTAAAACCAAGTATTCAGGTCTCCTCCTTACAGCTATCCCTTTGCTCTGCTATCTTTCCCCAAAACAACCAATTTATTTTGTATGCTAGAAATCCATTCAGGCACCTCTCTCCTTGATAATTCCCCTAAGTATTATGGAGAACATTCGTAATTACTGTGCCTGTACTCACTCCCTCTCCACTGAGATTTTAAACAGGTTTCATCAACAAGGTTACCATGATTCGCTTTTTTTATATAAACTTTATTGAGGTATAATTTACACCCAATAAAATTCATCAACTCTTTTTGAGACAAGATGTCTCTCTGTCACCAGGGCTAGAGTGCAGTGGCATCTAATTTCTTACTAATTTCATAACTCACTGCAACCTCAAGCCCCTGGGCTTAAGTGATCCCCCTGCCTCAGTCTCCCAAGTTGCTGGGACTAAAGGTGTATGACATTACGCTGGGCTAATTTTTCTATTTTTTGTAGACACGGGGTCTCGCTCTTACTCAGGATGGTCTCGAACTCCTGGCCTCAAGCAATCCTCCTGCCTTGGCTTCCCAAATTACTAGGATTACAGGCGTGAGCCACCATGCCTGGCCCATGCTTCACTTTTAATTGTTTAACAAACTCATAGCCTTCTCCTGAATAAAGATACTGCTGCTAATGCTACAGTCACACACTCAAATGGTATTCTGGTTCATCAATCACTTGTTTATTTTTGCTCTTAATGATTACTGCTTATTGCAAAGGTATAGACAGACCCTTGCACCTGCTTCATGAATAGCTCTTTGTCTTCAGAAATTTTCCTGCAGTCTAGTGAATCATGCCACTTTACAATTTTAAATATACCCTATCCTGTTTACAACATTATCATATGCCTCTTTTTATTAGCACTTTCAATGCTTTCCTTGCTTTTGCATTTACTGGACATTGTGGATTAATAATCTTTGCAAATTAGCTTGAAACCTAGCACTCATAAAGCAAATATCCAGTAGAATATGAAAAAACAGTGTTGGCTCCACAATCAAAGAAGATGGCTGAGGTTCTTTGTTGATGATGGGCCCAGTTGAATTTTTTTACATTGTTCTTAGCTTTGCTAACATGAAGGATTGCTTGTAAGTTGTAGAATCTTAGAGTGCCAGAGCTAGACCATTATCTTATCCAGTTAAATGTCTACTCTTTACACATAAGAGAAATGAGACGGACAGAGGATGTAACAGGTTCCTGATCATATGGCTAAAAATTTAATGCAAATGCAAATGAGACAGAATTTACTCATATGTAAGAGTTTTCCAGATTTCCTTTACTTTGCTCTGTCAAGTTTTAATAGACATTTTGTTTTTACCAGTGCAGCTTCTCCCCTCAGTCCCCTGTCTTTGCCTCACTAACAGGTGAGAGTGGAGAAACCCACCTGGAGAAATATGGGGAAATGATGCAGTGGATTCTTGTATGTTGTTTCAATTTTTAGGCTCTGGGTAATGGAGAAAATAAGCAGAGAAGCTGAATAGATCCACAGGACCAAGAGCTGTGACAGATAAAAGAAAAAAAGTTTGGTGTAGGGTAGGAAATTGAAGGACTCTAAAGTAACTGATGCTTTTGAGAGAATTAGAAAAAGTGAAACCAATCACTTTCCCCTTTGCTCTCAGAATCCAGTGGTAGTCATTTCAAAAGATAGTCATTTCTGAGTTGGAGCCAATTATCCCCAACATCAATGAATGTTTCAAATATCGTTGAATAAATTATATTGTGCAAAGTGCTGCTTTTCAAACTTTTATTTGAGATATCTCTAATGTCAATGGAAACACCAGCTCTGTCTGGGCTCTGGCTCTAGTTACTTTGTAAAGATGCTAGAAACTTTCCATCTTTCCCACATAACTTCTCTCAGCTAATAATGTCTCTTCTTTATTCTGATTGGTAGAAGTCTCAAAATTAGATCCCTGGTGGCTTGTACAGGGATAGAGTGGGAAGTAGGGTTGACGTTTAGAAGGGAAAAAGACAGTAGGTTAAATTCTTTGGGTATAAGGTAATGAAGATAAAAAGATATTAGGTCTGAGATATGGCCCCAGAACTTAATTTTAGAAAGGTACACACAGGGGGAGAGGGCTCCTGATGAGTGCTGTAAGGGCATGAATAACTCTCCCTAGACACTCTGGGTCACAAAAGCAAAAGTACACCCACAGGCATATGGATGTTGCCAGTCGTGTGACAGAAGCCTTTAGCACTAATGAGTCATACCTAGAAGGAGCCCTTTGTGGACAACTGTGGAGCATCCTCCTACACTCCTGAAACCACTGTGCACCAGTGCCCAGAAAAGAACTGAGAAGGGGAGTCTTGTGAAAGAAGAAAAAGATGGTTTTAAACCCCACTGATAAGAAATCTGTCACTGGCTTTCTTTTAAAGATCCAATTTAATCCAGGAAGTGAATTTTTCTGTTTCTCAGAGTCATTTCTCAAATTTTTTTGTTTTGTTTTGTTTTTTACCCAAATCTTGGAGGAGGGGGCTCACAGGCAAGAAAATATTTGAACTACTCCAGAGCCATGTCAAACACTATGTATTCAGGTACTTATTTTATTTCCGAATGCATTTTTCTTGATTCTTGAGTAAAATCAGTTGCTTTTCCTTTAATACATCTTGGTTACTACCATGACTTTAGAAAGAACTCTCTTTAGATTTTTTAAAAGATAATTAGCAAAGTGGATATCTATACAAAAGTAATTTTGTACTTCAGCAAAAGAGTACATTCAGCAGATAATTCACTCTGTGGCTTTTCATTAGCTAACTCTCCCTTGGGGCAATTTAGAGGTTGAGGCCCTACTCATCCACTTTCTCAGCTTCTATTAGAATTATCGCTGCAATTCACAAGACGAGTCAAAAAAATGGTACCTCTCACCAGAACTAACCCTTTTTAATTGAGGTCGATGTTATTTATTAAGTGTCTCATATGATATTCATTTTAGGAATATTATTTAATCCTCTCAACAATCCTATGAGTTAGAGCTAATCTCTATTTTAACAAGAAAAAAACCCCCAATTTTGAGAAGTTCAGTAATTTATCCCAAATCACATAGTTTACATGACAGAGTTGTCAGAGTCTTTGTACCCTTGAAGTCCATTACCTTTTTGCTCTTCTTCTTGGCCTTACAGCATCTCCTTCCTTTAATCTCACTCAAGAGTGAAAACTCCCAACCATCACTATATCTCCTGGGATTAGCAGAGTCTAAAAGGAAATGCAAATACTTCATCTGCCAGGGGCAATGTGTGACCTCATTGCTACAGTGGTTTCCATAATTTTTTCAAAGCAACAAAATTTTACCCAGAGCCTACTTATAAGATAGAAATACATGTTGTTAATATACATTTGGTAAATCCAAATTATAATATTTGTTTATTGTAAAGATTTGAACTATTTTTATAGAAATTAGGGGCAAAGATAACATTTTTATTTTTTATTAGCTTGACTATTGATGAAATACAAAATATATGCACACCCCTTGAAGCACCTTCTGAAAATCACTCCTTAGAATCCTTCCTTCCTTCCTTCCTTCCTTCCTTCCTTCCTTCCTTCCTTCCTTCCTTCCTTCCTTCCTTCCTCTTTGAAATATGTATCAAACATCTTCTCCTAAGAACCAGAAACTAAAAGAATGAGAAAGGAATATTGCTTTTAAGAGTCCATTTTTTAATCAAAAGAGACATTGCATGAGCACAAATATTAATGATTTCAGGGAGAAAAGTATAGAGTGAAACACAAAATATTATGGGAGTTTGGCTGGGTGTGGAATAGGGGATCTTGGTAGACTTTGGAAAAGACTTTGGAAAAGAGATGGCTTTTCAAGAGACATGGGACTAATACAAGCCATGTCAGAGAATAGCTGTTCAGACAGAGGGAAAAACAATGACAGAGGAGGAAAAGGGCAGGCCATGGAGTCAAAGGACAATCTGGTGTGTGTGTGTGTGTGTGTGTGTGTGTGTGTGGAGGGATTCATGACAGTAGGACCAGAAAAGTGTGTTGGAATCACATGGTAAAGTCTGTGAATGTTTATCTAAGGAAGTGTGGCCCTTAGTCTCTAGGTAAATGGGGGTCATCACAAAATTTTTGAGCAGGGGACTGAAGACTTCCTTGATGAAGAAAGTCTGCTGGATTGAAGGAGGAGAGCCTGCTGTCCAGGAGAACGATGAGGACAGTCATTTTGAGTCCAATGAAAGGGAGTCCTTTAAGGGGAAGGAAACTGAGACTTCGTGACAAGGGCAAGAGACAAGGCCCAAAGCTATGGGATGGGAGGAGTGAGGACACAGAGATCTCCTGGTGTATGGGGTTGAAGAGTGTCCACCCTAATTCATGTCCTTCTGGAACTTGTGAATGTGACCTGATTTGGAAATAGAGTTTTTGCAAATATAATCAAGGTGAGAGGAGGTCATACTGGATTAGAGTGTGCCTTAATCCAATAACTGGTATTTATAAGGAGAGAGAGATTGGAGATGCAGAAAGACACACACAAAGGGAAGATTGCCATGTTGTGAGGGAGGCAGAGACTGGAGTAACGTAGCAGCAAGCCAAGGAACACCAAAGATTGGCAGCGACCATAAGAAGCTAGAAGGAGGCAAGGAATGGTCATTTCCTAGAACTTCCAGAGAGAGCATAACTCTTTGGACACCTTGATTTTGGACTTGTGGCCTCCAGAACTGTGAGAGAATGAAGTTTTGTTGCTTTAAGCTACCGGGTTTGTGATAAATTTGTTACAGCAGCTCTAGTAAACTAATACACTTGAACAACCTTAGAAAGATGGGATGGTAGTGGTCACCCTCAGGGACAAGGATAGATACATAAAATTTAGTATACGAATGGGGAGAGAGTATTTTATATGACAAATACTATAGTGGGTCTTTGTGGAAAGCAAAAAGATAAATAAGGCAGAGCTAATAATTCAAAATTCTAACAGACCAGTCAGTGAAGACTATGAATCATCAGTGAAGGGACTGTAATCATGAAAACAGATGAGGAAACTGAGACTCTATGTGAAATTACTTGCTAAACTTCACACAGGCATACAGTGGCAGGACTGGGCTTGAACCTATCTCCCTCTTCTGCCTCCCAGTCCAGTTCTGAACATGGATTTTCACAGAAGGGTAAAATGAAAGAGGAAGAACACTACAGAATAAATAAAAAGTCTTAGAAAAAGGAGGCTGGCACTCTCCAAGGATTGGTCCCTGCCTTTTTTTTAAAACTGTCCCAAAATGGAAACATGGTAATCTGCTTGCAGACTCCCAATTTCCCAGCCCCCTAACTCTGCCTTAGTGTTTGAGAGTGCTGTCCTATTTCTTTTAAATCTCCAAAGAATGACAATGATGACATCATTGCTTTGGAGTGTTTTAATCTTATCTGCTAAAAGATTGAAATTTAAGAATAAGTAGGTCACCATAAGTTCAGAACAAATGTGTCAAATGTTTCAGAAGTTCCAGTCTTAGATCAAAACTAGAAGTGTCAACCAAGATAAGCTCTACCTTAGGAGAGATATTTGATACGTGTTTCTCATCATACAATAATGATACGAACTGACTGAATTGGGGAAAAACATATAAGTCATTTAAGTTCATTTCTCCTTTTAGGAAGAACTAAAATACGAGCTATATGGAAAGGAGAGAATCTGGCTGACCAGATTGGATTCTTAAAGGTTTCTAGTCAAGGGGCATGTTTGCTGGTTTGGGGACTCACAGAAATGCTGAAGATGGAAAAGCCCTTACTTATCTCTTAACTGAATTGAAGTGGTACTGTATTAGGCACTACCTCTAGGTTGTCTCACTTACCCCTCAAAACAGACTTACAGGTCTCAGTCTATCTTTTCATTTGGGGATGACAAAGCTGATTCCCCAAAGAAGGGAAGTAACTTGCTAAAAGTAGATTCACACAAGAGAAAATCAAATAAAATACACTTGGAGAGATGTTTGGCTGGCTTGTTCACTAAAGAAATAGAAAATAAAGCAATTTTGCGATGCTTACTTCATCCCTATCAAGTCATAAAAATTAATATATTAATATATATCATAAATAATTTTAGTTAATTCCAATGATGATCAAGCTACAAGGAAAGAGGCACACTCATGCACTGGAGATATATTATAAATGCATTAAATTGGTATGATTATTTTCAAAGGCAATCTGCTAATTTAAACCATGAGTTATAAAAATGGTCCTACCTTATGACCCAGTGATCTAGTTTCTCAATTTACATCTTAAGGGTTTGTAAATTTAAAAAAAAATTCAAATTTTTAGAATAGTATTATTCAAAATTTGAGACCTCTATGATCATGTAGTCTGGACTCTTCCAAAACCAGATGAACAAATTGAGACACATGGAGAAATGATTTTCCAAGGGTCTGAGCCAAGTCAGAATCAAGATTCCTGTCCAGTGATCTTTCCCTTATACTCTGGAGCATTTTGGTGAAAAACTGAAAACAATTCAGGTCTCCCCAAATTAAAGAGGTAGTTTAGCATAACTGTGAAGAGCCTGCATTTCTGGGTTCAACTGTGGCCCCATCAGTTACTAGCTGAGTGGTTTGGGGGCAGGCACTTAATCTCTTTGTGTCTCACCTGCAAAGCTAGTGAAGTAACAGAATCTCTTGTACATTCTAGCCATTGCTGCCACAACCAGGCTCATGTAGGCTCTGATCAACTTCGTGATTTGTGCAGGCAAACTACAGAGTACCTACCTACAAGAAGACCTCAAGCCTGTCTTTGTTGCCCACCCTGAGTCCTCCCTGCCTATACTGAGTTGTGACATGCACCAGCCCAGAAGAATGTGTGTGTAAGAGTGTGTGTGTGTGTGTGTGTGTGTGTGTGTGTGTGTATCTCAAAGAAGTAGTAGGGTAGATAAAATGTCTCATGGGGCACATGGGAACTGGTGGACAAACTCTTTCACCTTTCTCCCCCATTTGACTGTCTGAGATGCAGTTTATGCAGCTTTTTGGAGAATTGTGTTGTGGGAACACAGTGTTGTAAGGTGGAGCAATCCATCATACTTGTTGGTAACCAGATCGATCACATACTCTCAAGTTGCCTCTTCCCCGTTCCCTGCCTCATTTCACTTTTTCCTCACTCTTGCTTCCCTGGGATTGCACCCTGAATACAGTAGTTCATGAAACCCTCTGCTTCAAGTTTTGCTTTATTTTGAAGCCAGACTAAGAGACATGGCACCTACCCTTGGAGGACGGTTGTAGTGCGGAAACATTAAATAAGTAAAAATGGTAAAGTGCTTAGAACAGTGCCTGACAAATAGTAATTGCTGTGTTAAGCATGAGCTATTCCTATTATACTGTATCACTGTGTAGCTCTGTAAAATGGCAAATATTTCGACTGTGCTGCTCCATGGAAAAATATATGTGGAGTGTTAAGCAAAATACAGAACACTAGGAAACAAGCATCATAGGGATTATATGTCCATAAAAATTATATATATACAGTGATGATAGAAGAGATGACATAGAGTTGGAAAATGTGGCTCTGTAATGGAGAAGAGGTGCTATGTTTACGTTTCCACAGAGGTAGTTATTTATCCAAAGTGGGGTTTAAATAAACAGAATAAATACATTCTCTTGGAAACTCTGTGCACACATCTGTTCAGAAATACAGTCCAGTGCCTGTAATTCCGCCTAGTTGGAAAGCCCTTCCATGCATGGCTTTTGTTTTTTCATACAGTCATTTTAAGCCAGTATTCTTTAATTTATTGTTTATGAAGACTGGAGACCACAGGGCAGTAGCTGTGATGAAATATCTTACTCTACCTTCAAACAGAGGTCTCCGCTTCTGCCTTTCAGTGGCCTATGAGGTGGGGGGCTCCTCCTTTAGGGGCTGCTTTGTCCCATGCTCAGGGCCCAACCTCCTCTGCAGTAGGTACTCAGTACATGCCAACTCAGCAAGAGACTGAGAGTGACTTCTTTCTTCTCTTTCTTCTCCTTTTCTTAGATCCTTGAAGTCCATGCTAGGAAGAAATGATATGCAAGTTATAAGGACTAGAACCCTGAACTTGGCTTCTTTAGACTTACATGCACATAGTTTTTGTGCAAAGAAAAGCTTAACGTGAGCAGGGAACATCTTTCTGTGGGGGTGGGGACTGGGGAGATGCATTATACTCTCTATTCTCATTGGTGTATCTGGGAGCCTAGTTCTGTGTTTGGTCCCATGACCTATCTTGGTTTAAACTCTCGAATGGCCTCCCATAGCACTTAGAGTAAAACCCAATTTCTTGTCCAGGTTACAAAGCCTTCCCCTACCTACTTCTCAGAACTTGTTCCACACCTTTTTCCTTGGCTCACTACTTTCTAGCTATACCAGTCATTTTTTTGTTTCTCAAACATGCCAAGGTTATTTTTATCTAAGGCTCTTCAGAATAACAGCCCAGAATACTCATCCTCTAGATGATCACCTTGTTGGTTTCTTCATGTCATTCAGATTTCAATGTAAATCCTACCTCTTTAAGGAAGCGTTTCCTGGTCATTAGATCTAAGATAACTGAGTCAATTTTTTAAACTTTACTCAGTTTTTTTCTCTGAAGAATAGCCATCTGGTTTTCTGTTCTTTGTTTAGATATTATTTCTTTCCTGTTTGGCATAAGCTTCACAAGAGGAAAGACCTTGTGTGTCCTGTTCTCCTGTTCTTTTGCAAATTTTATAATGGTGCCCAATACAGAGACACACTCAGTAAATATGTTGCACGAGTATAGGAATGTACAGTGAACGTGTTTAGTGGGGGCTTCCAGGTGGTTCAGGCAGAGGAAATGCTGCGGATGACTGCCTTTCTTCTTTCTCTTGAACTAGAAAGTAGGCCATTACTTTTCCACCCCTTTGTATATCAAAAAACTATATTATTAACACCCTCCAAGTGGTAAAGGAAAAGAGGACACTGAGTCTGACCCACCTGTGCCATATAGTTTGTTGGTTCAGAATATTAACTATTTGAAGAATCACACACACTGTCAGAGTTAAAGACTTACTATAAAGCTACAGTAATCAAGACAGTGGTATTGGTGATAGGATAGACATATTATATTGATCAAGGGAACAGAATAGAGAGTCCAGAAACACCATACAAATATAGCCCATTGATTTTTTTATGAAGTCCTAAAGGCAATTCTATGAAGAAAAGATTTGTCTTTTCAACAAACAATGATGAAACAACTGGACGTCCATGTGCAAAAACACGAACCTTGACTCAAAAGTCAAACTTTATACAAAAAATAACCAAAAAGTGACTCAAAAAATAGCTCAAAATGAATCACAGACTTACTATGTGTAAAATGTGAAACTATAAAACCTTTAGAAGCCATTATAAGATAATTGTTTTGACCCAGAGTTGAGCAGAGAGTTTTTTGTTTTTCTTTTTTAAAAGGGCTTAAAACAACCCAATTTATTCTCTTATAGTTCTGGAGGTAAGAAATTTTAAATGGGTTTCACTAGGCTAAAATCAAGATGTCAATAGGGCTGCAATCCTTCTGGAAGTTCCAGGGGAGAAACTGTCTCTTGCCTTTTCCAGCTTCTGGAGGAGGCTCCTGCACCTTTGTCCATCGTCAAAGCTGGCACCATGGTGTCTTCCAATCTCACTCTTCCACCTGGGCCCTCTAATCAGAGAGGGCTTAAACAGGTCACCAAAGGCTGCTTCACTAAAAATGTCAATAAATTGGACTGCATTAAAATGAAAAACTATGCTTTGTGAAAGACACTATTAAGATAATGAAAAGGCAAGTTATAGAGTGGATGATGAAAATATTTGCGAGTCATATTTCTGACAAAGGACTCATATTTAGGATACATAAAGAATTTCTCTTAAAACTCAATGGTAAGAAAACAAACAGAATTTTTTTTAAAATGGGGGGGAAATCTAGAATAGATACTTTGCTAAAGAGGAAATATAGATGGCAAATAGGAACATAAAGAGATGGTCAACATCTCTTTAATAGGCACATAAAGAAATTCAATTTAAAAGTATGCAAATTAAACCACCATAAGATACTATTATATACTTATCAGAACAGCTAAAATTAAAGAAGTGATTGACAATACCAAAACCCTAACAAGGATGTGGAGCAACTAGAGCTCTCACACATCGTTGGTGAGAAGGCAAAATGGTACAGCTATTCTGGAAGACGGTTCGCCGGTTTCTTATAAGGTTAAACAAACATGATGTGACTCAACATCCCTACCTTCTCGGTATTTACACTAAAGAAATGAAAGCTTACATTTACATAAAAACTTGTACATGAATGTTTATAGCAGCTCTATTCTCAATCACCCCAAACTTAAAGCAACTCAAATTTCTTTCAACAGATAAATGAGTAAACAAATGAGATATATGTATACAATGGAAAACTACTTAGCAATAAAAAGGAGACTTGTTACATGCAACAACATGGGTGAAATTCAAAGGCATTATACTGAATGAAAGAAACCAGACTGAAAAGGCTTTATAAAGCAGGATTCCATTTGTATGACGTTCAGAAAAGGACAAAGCTATAGTGACAGAGACCAGTGAATGCCCAGGTCTTGGTGTGGGTGGAAGGTACGATTACAAAGGGATAACGTGATGGAACTGTTCTGTATACTGATTGTGGTGATGGTTACACAAATTCATACATGTGTTAAGATTCTTAGAACTGTATACCAAGAAGGCCAACTTTTATTATACGTCAATTTTTAAAAATGAAATTTTAAAAACATGAAATATTAATAATTATCAAGACCTTGAATCCAGATTCCATTATTTTCTAACTGTGTTATTCTGCATCAGGTAAGGCTTTCTTTAAGCCTCAGTTTTTTTCATTACCTAAAATGTTTATAAGAGTATTCAAATCTCCTAGGGATGTTTGGTGAATTAATTAAATGAGGCAATGCATATAAAGTTGCATGTGCAGTGACATATAGTGAGCATACAATAAATATTAGCTGTTAATATAGGGTAACTATTTTCAGAAGAAAAATCATTACAGAAAGCTGCATGGCATGGTAGAAAGGAACATAAGTTCTACAGACAGTCATACTTAGCTTTGAATTGCTTATCTTAGATAAGTTAATCACCCTCTCTAAACCAAAAAAAAAAAAAAGGTGTAATAATATTTGCTTTATAGTATTGTGGTGAGTATAACCATTAATATCATATAATGTCTGGTACTTAGTGGATACTCAATAATTGATAGCTGTAATTATGATTTAGAGTGTTTCAAAAAGTAAAATACAATTTCTTCTGACACTGAAAAATTATGTTTACAAATGTATAATCCCAAATGATTAATTATGCAACCAAAGAAAGAGCTGATGTTACGCAAATGGTTTAGTTTCCACTGTACTGGCCATTCACACATATTTCCTATTCATAGCCAAAATAGTAATTGGTTGAAATGAGCACTGTTGCATTTTAATGAGCTCTTAGAAGGGCAAAAGGATTCCTCTAGTACAATGTAGAATAGATTTTCTATGATAGTGTGTATTTTTCCATTTTGTTATTTTAATTTGCAAATGGAGTCCACAGGTCTATAAAGTGGCCTTCTTCATTTTATAATGCTTTCCATCTCTCATTTCAAAAATGTGTTTCAACATAAATTAAAGTTGGATACAAAAGAACCTAGGACCAGCATGAAGGGCCTAGTTGTCTCTATTGGCTACAAAGTAGAGACAAACTGAATTCTCCTTGAACTTGTTTTTCTAGTTTGCCATCATCATTGTTGTCATAGTCATCATCATCATCAGCAACTAGGCTCTGGTTATCCAAGAAGGACTCTTTAGTTCTATAGTACCTCCAGTCTTCCTGAATATTATTTAAGCTATTTTTTGTTTTCTCTCTTTATGTATTGATCCAGGAAAAGCAAAACTGTTGCTTTAAGATGCTAAAGGATGCACATTTTAAGAAATAATGTCACTCTATCAGCCAGGTGTATAAAAACATACCTTCAGCAAAAGACATTTCTCATAAGTTAGATTATTTTTCAACATGAATAAAAATGTTCTGAAATGGCTGATATGGTTTTATTGTTGCTTATGACATTATAGAGGTTATTGATAGGAAAAGAAAAACAGAATACTCAAAGCATAAAGCTGGAAAAGATCTTAGAAATTTGAGCCTAATATCATTACCATATCAAAGAGGAAAATGGAAATCTAGAGAAGAAAGTACTGGACACGTGTTACCCAGCAGTCCCCAACCTTTTTGGCACCAGGGATCATTTTCATGGAAGACAATTTTTCTATGAACCGGGGAGTGGGGGGGGAGGGGGTGTATGTGATGGTTTGAGGATGATTCAAGCACATTACATTTATTGTGCTTTATTTCTGTTATTATTACATTGTAATATATAATGAAATAGTTACACAACTCACTATAGGTTGTGGACCCCTACCCAACAAGTGAGAGACAGAGTCAGGATGGGAACCCAGGTCTCCTGCCTACAGGACAGGCTAATTTTCTCTCTATCACATCATCTCCCCAACAACAGCCCTCTGTTTTCTGTTCTTTCTTTCTTTTAACCCCAGGTTTGCAAAGTTTATTTAATTACATTCACTGGTTCATAGACTATGTGGGGAACCTGTGGCCTCAAGGCCACATGTGGCCCCCAGATTTCCCATGTGTGGCCCCTCAACTGAATCCAAACTTCATAGTACAAATAGTGCAAATCCTTTTAATAAATGTATCCTTTAATTTATTAAAAGGATTTGTTCTGTAAAATTTGGTTTCAGTCAAAAGCCTCACTCAAGGATCCAGAAGACTACATGTGGCCCTAAGGCTGCAGGTTCCTCACCCTTATGCCCCCTTAGGTGCTCACTCTACTGCATTTGCTATGTCCTTAACTACACAAATGCTATTTTATGTATGTATCTTAATTTACTTAAATGTATTGTGCTAGAAATCTTCATTCGATACTATGCTTTTAGATCATCCATGTAGCTATATGTTTATTTAGTTAATAACTCTGATCATGGCCTAGTATTCCAGAGT